TTGTCCTTCCCTTGATGTTTGAGATTGCTTTCACAAAATCTTTGTTTCTTTTTTCTCTTTTCTTTCTCTGCCCTCTCTTGGCCCCGTGGCATGAAGCTTCTTCCTAATCCTACTGATTTCTTCTGATTCTCTTGTATTCTCCTCCTCCATTGAGTCACTATTTTAACTTGGTTTTGTTTTTTGACAGTGTCTCACTCTGTAGTGCAGGCTGACCTGAAATTCTCAATCCTCCTGCCTCAACCTACTAAGTGCTAGGGTTACAGGTGTGTGCTACTATGCTTGGCTTTTCTTTTCTTTCTTTCTTTTTTTTTTCTCTTCCACAATAGGCAAGATTTGTAGACGAATTTCTAAACAGTCTTATTAAATAAGAAACAGAGCCAAATACAGAGGTAATAGCCGAAGAGATCAGAGCAATAGCCACTACTAGCCTTAGCTTACCACCGGCAGTAGCTTTTACAGAGAGAGACTTTCTAATGTCTGACTAGTGTTTTTATTGCTTTCCTGTTCTGCTTTCTCATTGGCCCAGCCCAGCCACATGACTTCCTCGTCACTGCCTGTCTATACAGACCTCCAGGTCTCTATGGTTGGTACTGGGATTAAAGGCTTGTGTCACAACACTTGGCTGTGTCCTTGACCACACAGAGACTCTGCCATGTGATTGGATTAAGGGCGTGGGCTACCATTTCCTGACTTCTGTTTATGGCTATTTGACCTCTGATCTCCAGGCAACTTTATTTATTAACATACTAATAAAATATCACATTTCAGCACAAATAAAGGATCACAACAAAGATTTATTCTACTGAATCCAGTTGTTTCTTTAAAAACAACTGCTTCTTTGGATTCAAGCTTGGTATGCGCTCTGACTCTCTGTGCTTTTCTAGGGTAAAGTAGTTTCTGCCCATGGATACAATCCACCTGTTGACCACTTCCATGTTCATTATTCAGGATGGCTTTTCTTCTGGTCTTGGGATTCATATCTAAGTGCTTCCAAGACATGCCTGTACTCAGTGTCAGAGTGTAAGTCATCATCATTGTCCAAAGATAGTCTTTCCATATTGTTCATGATGTCCTTAGTACATCCCAGCACCACAGGTTAGAAACTGTGTCCTCTTCATGTCCATACTCCCATAGCAAATGTGAAAGGTCTTCAGTAATCCCATGTACCTGTTTCTCCAGAGCCCCCCACATTTTAGACCTGACCCAACCACACTGAGCTGCCTGCAATTCCATAATCCACATTTACTCTCGTGTTCAAGAATGTTATTCAAGTTGTTCCTTTTATGTGGAATTCCTTTGCTCTCCATTCATCTGAATGACTACTATTCATCTTCAAGACTTAGGTCAGTGTTGCCTCCTCCAGGAAGTCTCTCCCCACTCCTGTCCTCGGGTTGGGTAAACCTGCTGGGCGATCCTGATATTTGTTGCATTTCTGTATATCTCTCTCCTACGTGAGTGATCTATTATATAATCTGGAAGTCTTTGTCCCTGTGTTACATTTTCCTCTAAATCAGTGGCTCTCAACCTTCCTAAAGCTATGACCCATTAATACCGTTCCTCATGGTGTGGTGACACCCCCCCCAACCATAAAATTATTTTTTGTTGCTACTTCATAACTATAATTTTGCTACTGTTATGGATCATAAATATCTAATATGCAGGAGATCTGATATGATATACAACCCCTGTGAAAGGGTCAGTCGACCCCCAAGGGGGTCACAACCCGCAGGTTGAGAACTGCTGCTCTAAACTGCAATTCACTGAGAGGAGGTAGTCACAAAATGCCTAAAATAGTCTGGTATGTGGTATAATATGTGATTAATAAATGTTTGTGGAAGGGGAATAAAGGGACCTTCTGGCAATACCAATAACAGTAAAGTGATCAGCAAGAAACAAGAATGAGACTTGTAAGATTTATTGTGCCTCTTGTGATGAAGGAAAAGGCACTGGAGTCAAAAGATGGCCGAGTCCACGTCCCTATGAAATCCTCACAGTGCAGTGGCTGCAGAGAGACACTGTGTTAACAGCCCACGCACAACTTCCTCTTGGACTCATGTTTGTAGAGCTCTAATTAGACTTTGACAAATTGCAGATCCAGAAGCAGTTCATAGAGTAAACACCCAGAGACAGAGCACTCACAGTGTCGCTGTCTCTCAAAACGATGCGAACATGCTACAGAAGAGATTCTTCTGCTTAAATACAACGGTATTATCGTGTATCGGGGGCAGAGCTGGCCTTTCCCCCCATGACTCTTCCCCTTCCCACACAGTAAAAACAGGAGGATGAGCAGATGGGTGTTATGAAGAGAGAAACATCAACTTGCAGTCACACAGAAATCTCACAGGCCTGTCTAGACATTTGACATTGTAACACAACACTGTCATCTCCAAAGTTCACGCACAACCGAAGTTCGAAGAATGAAACAAAATTCCCTAGTATTTTAAGTAAGTTTACAGTTTTGTGTTGGGTCCCAGTCAGAGCTATTCTTAGCCACATGCAGCCTGAGAGATGAACAGAGCTCCGAGATGGAAAGGACGGCTTCATCAGATCATGAATTGTGTGCCAAAGCTGAATGAACAGTTAGGGTAGCTGCCGAGAGGAAATTCACTCACATGGTGGCTGGAAAGGCTATTTGCCCTAGTTGACGTGCTTGCTAGCTTAAAATTCTGTTTGTTTTCCCCAACAAAGTAACTCTTTTCATTCTTTCCATTCAGAGAGCAAACTGAGAGTGAACTCAAGCAGTCAAGTCCAAGAGCTCTCCATCAGCTCCAGCACGCACATAGAATGTGCCATCTTGTCCCGATCTGCTGGGAACCTTCCATTGTCTGTCAGTTGGTACTTTTCTCCCACTTCTACAAATGCATCCTATCTGAAGATCCTAGAAATGGACCAAACCAATGTCATAAAATATGGGAATGAATTTCAAACCCCTCGGAGCAAGCAAAAATTTCATTCTAAGAAAGTGTCCCAAGACTTGTTTCTGCTGAACATTCTGAGTGTGGAAGACAGTGACCGGGGCCACTACTACTGTGCCGTAGAGGAATGGCTCTTGTCTACGAATGGCACATGGCAAAAGCTTGAAAGAAAGACTTCAGGACTCACAGAATTGAAACTCAGGCCCACAGGTAAACCTTAGAAGAGTATTGTCATAGATCTTCCCATAGGATGGCCCAGCTTGTCCCCAACAGCCTGTAGGGTGTGACTAGGAAGAGATTAAAAATATTATCTGGCCGGTCGGTGGCAGCACATGGTGGCAGAGGCAGGCAGATCTCTGTGAGTTGGAGGCTAGCCTGGTCTACAAAGCAAGTTCCAGGACAGCCAGGGCTGTTACAGAGAAACCCTGTCTCAAACAAACAAACAAACAAACACAAAACAACAACAAAAATAATAGCCACTTACAAATGCCCACAGGACCTGGTAGCCCACCAGAGGAAGGGAGGTTGCTTAAGGTGAATCAGTGTGAGGTTTTGAGCTCAAATGGGAACAAGATCCCTTTGCCTGGTTGGTTTGGCAGCTTGACAGCCTGGTCTGCACAGCTGCCCAGGGAATCCTATCTCCAGATCTCTATAATAACCGACTGTGCCACTCCAGTGGGGCTCTACTGTAATTTGGCAGAGAAAGAGTAATACGAAGCATATTTCTCCCACTGTGAACAGAAACTGTACAACTCTATGGGGATGTGTGGAGAAATTGCTTTTCAACATTTGGCTGCCTAAACATAAGGCAAATAGAAGTAGTTAACTGTTGGAATGGCTTACTGGGGGCGCCTTCTCCACCTCTGGAGATCTTTAAAAATGTGATGGAACTTCCATCCATTTGAGCTCGTCTACAGCGCTGCTGTCTGAATGCAGGCAAGTTTCACTAGATCGCTCAGCACTGGCCGGGTCACCTCTAGCGGCGGATTAAAGTCAGATGGGTGTCACAGCTAAGGAACTGGACAAGAGCCAATGGTGTGATGTAAATAACTCGATCCAATGTGATGCTTAAAGTACTATTTTCAAGATGACATTAAAAAAAAAAAAACTAGGATGATAAACTGGACATTCCCATATGCTAGGAAACAGAACTGCAAAGATGAATACGATACAGCTCTTGCCCTTGGGAGCTCACAGTCTGTGAGAGAAGCAGAGGTAAAACGTAGCTTAGGAAGATCTCTCTCTCTCTCTCTCTCTCTCTCTCTCTCTCTCTCTCTCTCTCTCTCTGCCCTGGCTCACTTCCTCTCCAGGCCCCTCCCCTTTCTCTGTTAAGCTTGAGTGTTCCTCTGGGAGCGATCCTGGGCTCTGGCTCTTCTGCTTTTCACTCTCTGCTGTTCTCAGAGCTTCCACTCTGCTGCCCTGGCTTTAACTGTCACCGACAAGATGATTCCGTTACATCTTTGGGTTTAGATGGCCTGAGCCTTAGGCTCTTAGATCCTACTGTTCACTTCTACATGGACGCTCCAGAGACCCCCACTGCCATTGCGTTGATGTCTCCTTACCTTCTGCATCTGTGTGATTGATGGCCTGCCTTCCACTTGTCCTAGCCGAACACTTGACTGCGTGTGCCTGCACATTTCAAGGAGGCAGCATCTCTTGGCTCAAGCCAGTGTTTCTCAGGTAGAAACCTGGCCTCAGTATTAGATCTTTTAGTGTATCATGAAATCCTCACAGTCTTCACCGTTGGGTTGGGAGACACCTAGGAGGTTAGTAGGGTGTGCTTATAAGAATACTTTTGGTGTGTTTATGAGAATATTGCCAGAGAGGATTAACTAAGGGGAGACCTGCCTAAATATATATGGTCTCAGCAAACAGGCTTGGGGCCCCAGACAGAATAAAAGGGAAGAAGGAAGTCCACAGATGCAGGCATGCTCTCTCTCTACAACCTTGCCATCTTGAGAGGAGCTTTTGCCACATGGTCCAACACTCTGATATTCTGCCTTACCTCAGGCCCAAAGCAAAGGATCTAGCTGACTTTGGACTGAAATCTCTGAGGCCATCAACAGACCAAACCTTTCTTCCTTTAAACTCTTTCTTTTAAATATTTGTTACAACATCGGCAATAACAACAACAACAACAACAAAACTAATATGGGAGATTGATGCCAGAGAGTGGGGTCAGTGCTGCAATCCAACCTGATGAAGTGGTTTTTAAGATTTGAAACTGGTTTATAGGAGGAGTTTGGAAGAGGTTGAAGAAGCAGGGTAGAACATCTCTAGAATACTTTAAGAGTTCAATGGAGAATTCTGGTGAAAGAAAATGCTGGTAGGAATGTGGACAGAGAGACTGTGCTCATGAAACTTTTCATAGAAATGAAGACTAAATTGGGAAGTGGACTAAAGGCCATTCATGTTGAGTTCTGGCAAATATTTTGTTCATTCCCTAAGACTTGAGTGAGGCTGAACTCAAAAGGAATTGAAAAAATTCCAAGACAACGCAGGCTGTGGCATGGTGACTGCTAGCTGCTTTTAGCCAAGTTTACAGTGCAATTGGGAGCAAAAACAGCAGAAAAATGTGAAAATCTTTGCACCTGCCCAATAAAGAGGCTCAAGTTGGGGCTCAAGGAAAGTGTGGCTGTTAGAAATTAGTGCCACATACTTCTCACTAGCACAAAAGGAAAAGTCCCTTGGAGGCATCTCAGGGGTTGGCCAGACCCACCAATCAAAGACTCAAGGATGTAAGAATAACTTCATTGAGGACATTTTCCTTTGAAAGCCCTGTGTGGTGGCATTCAACTAGGAAGACTGATAACTTCAAAGACATCCTATCTTACATCGTGAGTTCCAGACTACCCTGAGCTACTGTGGGTTTTTGTTGTTGTTTTTGTTTTGTTTGTTTTTAATGGCTTTCCCTTGAGATGAGAGCAACATGGCTGGAGTTTCCTCTCACACTGAGCTCCACAAGAAGTTGGCTCTGTGATATCCATGGCATAGACACTATGAGACCACTGAAGCCATAGTCCAAGGACTCCTAGTCATAAGTCAAGCTGGTTATAAACCTTATCAGCTATCCACATGGTGCTAGTCTTATAGGCATGAAAAATATAGGAATTATTGGATCATGGAGCCCGAAACCATCAGCCATATATACATATATACAGCTTCCTCAAGTTGTTTTGCTCAGGTATTTTTATCACAGTGGTGGAAAACTGACTAAGACAACACAATGGCACTTCTCAACTTGAGAATGTTTGTAGTTAACCAAATTCTCTTCAAGTACTGAGGGTACCAAGCAAATCCTCTCTGTGAGCTCCATGTGACTGTGGGTTGACACAGTATACCTGGGCTAGGGAATGAATTAAGAAATAAGCTGCAAGGAGATATGGAGGCAGGCTGGTCATCACTGCAGCAGAGGATTTTCTCTCAGGTCAAAAGAAGAAAGAATTTCAAGAAGAAAATGAACCTCAGTGACAAAAGCCAAGGAGAAAACAAAGTCACTGAAGGGCTCCCTTGAGCTTGGAACCGGACTGTGGTCAAGTACTGTGATGGATTAGAAACCAGTTTGCAATCAAATGGGGAGTAACTTGAGGCAAGAATGCAGAGAATTTTATATAAGTTAATATTTTGCTTGATTCCACATGAAGGACAAATAAATGCTAGTTAGACTAAACATAGTCCAGGATCAGGGGGAAAAAAAGAAGTTTAAAAACAACAAAACAATTTAATAGATGAATTTGTAGCGGAGTTGAAAATGTCATGCACGCTGCAATTTCCCACCTTGACTTCCAGTTGCTCTTTGTTCTGTTGGGTATGTCGTCCCAAGACCTCACCTGCTGGCTAGTGGGAGATGGGGTCAGAAGGAAGGCCCAAAGCTGTTTAAGGCATACTAATCTAATAACTGAGATGTCACCCTGGGGTGGTATTCTGTCTCTTGTATCAGTGTTCTGGGTCTCAGGGTGTCTGAACAAGAGAGAATATCTGGGTGTGGTGAGGGGAGGTGATTTCATCAAAAAGTGTGGTACTGGTGTAATTCATAGCTCGAGAGAGTACTGGGAGTGGTGAACAGCACCTGTGGGAAATCAAAGAGGAAGTCCCAAGACACGTGGAGGCTGCAAGCCCAGCTGGAACTGTATCTACTTTAGTAGGGTCTATCAGGCAAGAGGTCAGGCTAGAGGGGGGAAGTGGTGAGCTCGGCTTGTGGCAGAGAATATTCTGGCAAATGTGAAAAAATGGGGAAGGATCAAAGGTGAACATCAACGATGAAGGTTCTGATGTCTGGAAAACACCAGACAAGATCTCCCGGTGGAAATGATCCGGCTCAGAGGTGACCATGCCGAAAGTCTGCTCTTCCCTAACCATCCACCACTTTGCCTTCTTCTAGGAAGTCAGGTGCACGTCTCCAAAGTGAGGTGGCTGGGAAACGCCACTGAGCATGGAGAGGTGGGCATCAGCTGCAGCTTGGATGGCCCTGGCAGCACGGCCTCCCTCTACTCCGTGACGTGGTACTGGAGCAGAGCAAACGCCGAGAGTCAGATGCTGGCGCGCCTGCAGTACGATGGCGTGCTGGAGTACGGCCCGGAGGGACGCAGGAGGCTCCTGCACTGCTTCCGATCTTCTCCCACAGACTTCGTCCTGAAGCTGCATCGGGTAGAGATGGAGGATGCTGGCATGTACTGGTGCAGGGTGGCAGAGTGGCAGCCACAGGGCCACCCAGCCAAGTGGATCAGCCAAGCCTCAAATGAGTCCCAGCGGATGATGCTCAAGGTGCTGCCCTCAGGTAACCTGGGGTCCACCAGCCACTGGCTCATGGGGTCACGGGCATTTCCGGTTTCCCTCTTTGCTTCCGCCTAGCTTTGTTTCCTCCTTTTTCCAGACTCTTGACAGTTTTTCAGATTTCTCAAAGAAGAGAACTTTACTGTCTTTCTCCATAGTAACTCATTTCAACCTGGAAGGTTACATGAGGTTTGGGCACAGACGCTTGACTAATGGGCACATCTGAACTGTTCTGACCTTCCCTTCCCGAGCAAAAAGCCGTCAGTGTCGTGTTTACCTCAGATAGCCAGAGAACATGAGCAGCCAGCAGCATCCTTGCCTCTCGGCTGGTCCTCTGATCTCGGGATGCTGTTTTGTGGTGAAAAAGAAGATGAGGCAGGATAAGATGGTAGTCGTGACGCTAGCTCTGCATTTTGACCAGACTGAACCAGAGTCAATTACACCCAAACACTCCCTTGATCGAGAGAAGAACAATTAACAGAACCAAAACCACTTTTCCTCAGAGAATCAGTGCAGGGATCTTTGTCTGTCTGTTAGTCTTTCTTTCTCTCTCTGTCCCTCTATCTGTCTGTCTCTCTCCTCACCAAACTGTCAGGTCCTTAATAATGTTACTGGACAAACATACTCAACCTGCAGAGAATGATCACTGGCTCACAGCTTTAGAGACTCTGGTTTCTGATCATTCGGCCCTGGAACTCTGAGTCTGCGGCCACACATCATGGCAGGAGTGTGTGACTGAGCAAACCCACTCACCTCTGGCTAGGAAGTGAGAGAGAGGAAGAGGAAGGGCTGGTGTCTTCAATGGCGTGCCTTTAATGACATGGAGATCTCCCACCAGAACCTTCTCCTAAAGGCACCACCACCTCCTAACAGAACCAAACTGAGGAGCAAGCCTTTCCCGCATGGGCCTTTTAGGGGATGGGGTGGCGATTTAAGATCCAATGTTAGCAATGCTCATTTGGTGTCCTCTTTCCATTGTATTATTGCGTCTTGGAAGACATCAGAGAAGGAAGGATGCCATTTAGAGCTACCTTATAGTTTCCAACAAAGAGAAGAGCCACTCAAAGGTCTTTGACCAAAAGGTGACAGTTCTCTGTGTAGAAAAGTCCCCCTCAGCCAATATCTCAGCCTAGCTTAGTATCAGACAAGTGCTGGGTATCTATTAGACATGTGTTAATAACAAGAGTGCTGTCTTCCAGCAGGACCGATACATTGTGGCTTGCTGTAGTATCTGCCAGTTCATTGTCTTAGCTACTTCTTTCCAGGAGACTCAAACAGGTGAAAGGTGAACTACAGGCTGAACTCTTATTGGAAAAGGATCACTAGAGAAATTAAAACAGAGTCTTGGTACTCCACAACAGAACAGATAAATGGGATCCATTATAAAGTTGACATTCCTAGGAGACCAGCTAGTTTTAGCAACAATCCCTTGAAGGGAAGAGGTACATATGGCAATTCTCATAGGCAAAGAGAGCCTCACTGCATTCCAGTGAGACTCCATCTAACTTGTTACCTAGGGTTCCATTATCCTCTCCCCCATCTATTATTCTGGGCTCCACCATCCTTCCCCCATGTCCATTCTTCAGTAATTCTTTTTTTTCTTCCAAATGTCCAGGCAGAAATTTTTTTAGCAGCTTTTCATTCCAACAATTATGGGATATCCCACATATCTGGGCATACCCCACAAATGATTTCCCCTGGAATTCACAGGTCCCATAGACTCAGCAGTTTTTACAGTAGAATAAATAGGTAACAACCATAAAAAGGACTGATTCCATGACTAGCAAGCATATCTCCTCTGAGGCAGGTGAGAGGCTGCACAGCATATCTATGTGAGATCATGTAGAGCATCTCATTGATCATGTAAAAGATGAACTCTGGAAGGAGACACTAAAAAAAAAAACAGAGTCATTTTTGTCTCCTCTGAAAAGGCTCACAGGCCTGTGCCACAACCAACAGGGTTTTCATTTCAGCAAACATCATGTTCCCAAGGAAATCCTGTGACAAGAGAAAGTGGCCTGCGCTGCCTTTCTGCTCCTGGCTAGTGGGTAGGGAGACAGTCCGGGGTAATAAAAAGTCCTTAGAGGTTGGAGTCACACAGCCCTAAACTCAGACTGCAGTCCTAACCACTTACAAGCCATGTCATCAGACTATTGATGTGTATGATGCTTGCCTTTCTCATAAACTAAAGATCATTATACAAATATGTTTTTAAAAATCTAGACACTGAGCAGGGCAGTGGTGGCGCATGCCTTTAATCCCATCACTCAAGAGGCAGAGGCAGGTGGATCTCTGTGAGTTCAAGGCCAGCCTGGTCTACAGAGCAAGTTCCAGGACAGCTAGGGCTGTTACACAAAGAAGCCCTGTCTCAAAAGACAAAAAAATCATATGAGACGTGAGCACACAAAACCGTTAATGGAAGGGCTCATTCCCACAGAATGGGGAAAGCTGAATTCACTGTGGTAAGTGTTATCAGAGGAGGATAGTCCCAGAATGCTGAGGGAGCAACTGAGCCAGAGAGAGGGGTCAAGTAGAGATGGGAAGGTTCTCTAGCACATGGATGCATGAGAAGAGAGAAAACCATTTTAGGAAAATGGAAAGGCATACAATATAGCAAAAAGACATAAAACATCACATCAGAGCCAGGGAACCTCGGTGGTTAAGAAGGGCTGAAAGTCAGCACCTGCAGTAACAAGGGCTAAAAGATGAGGGCACTGAGGGGGGTGACACAGAGCTCGGATGTGCTCAGTATATGAAGTGAGGGGGCACTTTATCATGACAGTCATGCCGTGCTGCTGAGCAAGTTCAAGTGCAGCAGGAACACCCTTGGCAAGTTCCCATCGGGGGCAGCAGTGAAGCCAAAGTGGTGGGAAGCAGACAGTGCAGGGAGAGCTATAGAAACTGTAGCCAAGGTGAGGCCAAATGGAGGCCCGAGCTCAGGCGGTGCTTGCAAGATGGGGGAAGAACAAGTGGTAGGCAATAGGAGGTCGAGTAGCTGGACATCTGTGGCCAGTGAGTGAGCGGCAAAGGCCAATTTGTCTTGGGGCTTAAGTGGATCCTGAGGCCATTTACCAAGCAACCAAACCAAGGCTGAGCAGGGAGATGGGTCCAATCTGTGCAAGCTGAGCTGGAACTCAACCCAAAGAGAGTTTCCAAGAGGTGTTTATCTGGGAGAGAGTGGGAATTCCAAATGTGAACTGCACCCGACTTGCGTACTAGATGCTATCAATGTGTGGCCAGTAAGGATGCTCAAGGAAGGACACTTGAGGTGTCCATATATCCATGGTGGGGAATCAGAATAGCACATCAGGAAACCCAGGAGACTGAAGAATACACAAAGGCTGTTTAAAATAAGACTGGGAGGGCTGAAGAGATGCCTCAGGGCTTAAGAACACTGCTGTGTAGCTATCTATGAGAACTGGAGTTCAGGTCCTAGTACCTACACAGCAAGCCAGGCGTGATCTCATATGCACTTGTAACCCCGAAACTGTTGGAGGCAGTCAGGAGGCTCTCTGGCGTTTGCTGGCTGCCAGTCTAGGCAAGAAAGAAACATGAGCTATGGGTACAGGAGAGACTCTGCCTCAAAGGGACAAGGCAGAGAATGAGAGAGGAGGACACCTGCGTGCGCGCACACACACACACACACACACACACACACACACACACACACACACA